AATAAATGAATGAATGAATGAATGAATGAATGAATGAATGAATGAATGAATGAATGAATGAATAAATAAATAAATAAATAAATAAATAAATAAATAAAATTTGTTCTCCTTGCAGTCCAGGGGGTTCTCAAGAGTCTCCTCCCGCACCACAATTCAAAAGCATCAGTGCTTCAGCAGTCAGCCTTCTTTATGGTCCAGCTCTCACTTCCATGTATCGCTACTGGAAAAACCATAGCTTTGACTATGCGGACCTTTGTCAGCATGGTGATGTCTCTGGTTTTTAAGATGCTGTCAAGGTTTGTCATCACTTTCCTCCCAAGAAGCAGGTGTCTTTTAATTTCATGGCTGCTGTCCCCATCTGCACTGATCATGGAGCCCAAGAAAGTAAAATCTGTCACAGCCTCCATATCTTTCCTTTCTATTTGCCAGGAGGTGATGGGACCAGGTTTATTTGTATTAGGGTGACTGTGTGAACATTTAGCGGAGTAAAAACAGAAGTGTCTTGTAACACCTGAATGAAAAACACAAAATAACAAGCTCAGTTCAGTCATTCCACAGCCTTTTCAGCATGTAGATCTGATGATGGTCATGCTTCCTTCTCCAAAAGCTTGCACTAGAGAAGGGACTTTCTGAAAGTACTGTGAAGATTTTGCTCCTTCTCCCCTGCTAAGAGCTGCACTACAAAAATTTCCATTTCATCTCCATCAGCAACATGAAACCCTTCTCTGTATTTCTTGCAAAGAGCATGAATCATGACGTTAAATGAGTGCCCCAAAGTACCCGTGATTGAGATTTCCATGACGAATTTTAGCTTATGACTCTTTTTCACTATCCCTGTTAGATATGTTTTGATATATGATGCCAGACACTTCTTAAAGTAAGACACCTTGAGTTCTCATCTTTCCATCTCTCTCAAAACTGTCCCTTCAGTGAGCAAGAAATCTCAGTATGCTTCTCAGGAGAAGTAGTTCCACAATGTCAGCACATTTTCCTGTTGATGCTCCATGGACTCAGCCAGCCAAGTCTCCCAACTGGCCTCTTCCACTTTTTCCCTAAAGCTTCCAACTACTCCCTCTTGGAATCTGAAGAAGCCTCAACCATGAAGCCTGGACTTTCAACCATGCATTATATTTGTAAAATGCATAAAAAGTGTAATTCAGTTTAGCTAAGGAACATGGCATGAGCATCTGGAACTTATCATGGTTGTTGTTTTTTTCTGGACGATTCACACCACAGTGGTGCACAGCCTGAGGAAGACCTATATGGGTTGAAAGTGAGTGCTTTTATGGGATTTTGTAGTGGCTTTATAAAGGTGTCACTCATCCTCTCCTCTGCATTCTGTATAAGGACCACACAGCTACTTTTTCATTTTTTAAAAAAGAATTTGGAGCAGCTTTGAAAAGTTTTATAACTGTTTGTGAACTGATGCCTTCTGTTCCTCTAGACAAATCTTGGAAAGCCTATCTTTCATTCTCTGGTTTATTCTATACCAAAAATCAGCCATATTGATATATATTAAACTAGAAATCATTTTTATTCCCAAGTCTGCTCTAATTAAATAAGAGGCAGTATTTTTGAAACCTCTAACATCATCCAGCAAGAACTGTTTCAAACCTTTTCAATTTTAGTAAGATAATCAAAATGCCAAATGTCCACAGCAGAAATTAGTACCAGTATCACCTTTGCTTTAAAAACATTTACATTTGGTGTATTGACCCTAAGTATATAACATTCAGCAATCTGATTAACAACTGTGTAAAAACCATCATATTCTGTTTACTTCTCTTCATTTGTAAAAGCTGGCATCCTAAAGCTATGAAAGTTAAATCAAGGTGACAATCAGGTTTTACCTGCTCTAGAAAGTAAACTGAGAGGAAAAGAACTATGTAAGCCATTGACAGTTTCTCTGCATCAGGATAAAGACGCAATCTAAAATTATCCAGAAGTTTCCTTTGCTATCCTGACTACCCTGCCATGCACCAATTTTATCTTCCAATATAATTTGGTCACTTATTCAGTTGAGTCACTTTATTGGTATAGGACTTTATACTATGCTTATAGCAGTTCACAATAAAGCATGATAAAATAAAATAAAAATTGAATACTTTTGGCATAACTTCTGCTTTTTATTTTGCATAATAGCTAGTTCAGACTCTTTCAATTACATACTTCACTGAAACCACCATTATTGTTAGTAAAATTAATTTCCACCAACCCTGGTTATGGATGTTGTTCTTACTATCGATCTCCACTGCTTCTTTGGTTTCCCCAGTTCATACTCATCATCATCCAGGTCCTGAATAGAAAGAAAAATTAGCTATGGTCACTTCAATAACAAAGAACTCAATGACACCTTACTACATCCAAGGTAGATCAAAAAATTTTAGTACTAAATACTAAATCTGTTGGACAAAATAGTGTGTTGGACAATCTCATCACGATCAACTGCATCCCTAATAGAGTTGAGGTCCCTATGGATGGCCTCAAACTTGGACTGAAAATGGGCTCCAAACTGGTCAGCAAAGGCAATCTCAGATTGAGGACCAGAGTCTGTGATATCCTGGACAGCTTGACAGAGTGTTGTTTCCTGCTGTCACCTGTAGATCACCAGGTTGAAGGACGAGCCCTGGACTTGAGAAGGTGTTTAGGAGCAATTGGGTCAACTACCTGAGCCACTGAGGAATATCAGTTGGTAACCTGAATTTTGACAAGAGCACCGAACAGGCCAGTCAGAAATTCCCCACCTCCCGCAAGGCCAACCAGAACACAATCGGGTCCAGTAGCCTCCAGGGGTAGACCATCTTAATGGGTCCAACTTCCCCATGGAAGGGAGGCATCATAAACCTAAACTTTAGCAGATGATGATCTGACCATGACAAGGCAGATGTTGTTAAATCCATAACCCTCAGATCATCTTCATGTCAGCCAGCTGTAAACCATGGGTCAAGAGTATATTCAGCCATATGAATGGGACTGTTAACAAACTGGAATAGGCACATGGATGTCACGGACTCCATAAACTCCAAGGCCACACCTGGACTCTGCTAAGCTTAATGGTGTCTGCTGAGAATGGAGAATCCACCCCACCCAGCCTGCCCTAATGCTGGGTGGAATAACCTGGGGGGCAAATCTGGGAGAGGGTAACCTCTATTCACTGCCCACCTATGTCTCATACAAGCCAACTCAGCCTTTTTGTCCACATGTCAAAAATCAATTTGGAATTATTTTGGACTAACAGCAAGAGGGTTACCTTGCACATATCAGGCATCCGAAAGACTAGAACTTGGAGCTGATATAACACATTGAAGGCAAGCTGGTAAATAAGACAGGAGGATCACATGATGGGGCCTATTTATTTATATCTTTATTAGTCATCGTTATGTCCCACTTTTCCTTTCATCACCTATGATCCTTATAGATTCTGAATGTCTGGATGAGAAGAAGCAACACTCCTCCTACAAAATCCCAAGAGTACTATTTAAAGCCTTTATGAGTTGTTTTAGAACATAGTATTATATTCCTTAAGTAAGCTGGCCATATCCAACTTGTTCTGAATCAGAATCATGTAAGGATATTATGAACAATACGTCCTCCAAGTAGTTCCAAAAACCTTGTCAAGACACTTCCTTTGCATTTAGAAATTTGTAACAGTATCAAAATTGGCTTGTTTATTTCTGGTTGTTCTCTGAGCTGTCAGAAAATCTACTACATCAGGAATTGTTGGAGCTGAAACTGGGAGCCTTTGGGTTTGCTCTTAGCTGCCTCATGCGGTGAGTCCTTCAAAGCATACAAAGGCTAAAAATGCATAGATCTGAGTACCAATGGGCCCTATAACTGAGGTTTTTTGAGGAACGGTCTGTGAGCTCACAAACATCAATTCTGCATCAATGCAAAGCACTGCTCAGAACTTTCCAGATTTGCGTAGTTTTGGTGCAAACCCGACACACCTCAGCGCACATATCCAAGCACATACTAATGGCTTGCCTCACTTCCCACTCCATCACTTTTAACTTAGTGAAGCTGTAAGATGGACAACAGGAAGGTGGACAGGCTGAATAGGTTCATAGATGCCTGCTTGAAGAAACACAGTTGCAAGTAAGCAATTTCTTCATCATGACTCTCACACGTTAATGACTGGACTCTAATTTTCTCCAAAACGCGCCCCATGAGAGGACAGGGAAGCAAGATGAACAGAAGATGTGTCAACCAGCAGCAAAGGAATGCTCCTCCCAAAGATCAGTGACTTTTCTTGCACTTGTCCAAAACCAGTGACACGCTACATTCATCTCAGATGAAGGAGCTTGCCTTTGCCTTCACTCTTCTCTCTAAGTATAAAGCCCATGCTTTAAAAGGAACTACATGGAAGGAATACGCTCTTTATGCCCTGTAAGTTTTATTTACTTCCAAGCACTATGCCTGGTTCTGAGGGGGGAAAGAAAAGAAAAAAGTGCCAGGGAAGAACAAGGCAATGCTTGCCAGTCTTAAAACACTGTTTCTCCTGCACTTTTCATGCCTGCTTCTCTGTAAACATCAGCAGCTGCTGGAGTTCAAAATGGAGACATGGGATCTCTGTGTAGCTGCCCCATTTGTGGAGCTGTTACCTATGCACTGTACCATGTGCAGAAACACCTTACTGTCCTCAGGTCTGAGGCTGACACCTGACTCCTGGTTTGTTCCTTGTTCTTGGTTTGTACTTAAGTTCTGTGTAAGAAAAGCCACTTAATAAAAATTACATTTTAATAAAAAATATCTAATAAAATTTAATTTAATTAATGTAATAAATAAATTTTATTAATAACATTTATTAATTATAATTAAGAAATTATATTTAATAAAATTAAATTAATAGATTTAATAAAAAATTACATTTCTAATTTTTTTTATTATTTCTAACAAAGTGTGTGCTTCATAGTATAGAATGAAGACAGCTTTTTGTAGTGCATGCCAGTCTTTGAAGTTTTGTATTCAATCTTGTATGACTTGATGACGTAACAAAGGCATCAAGAAGGAAGGATTGGTCACAGAAAGAATTGGTCATTCTTTCCAGCATGTGATTCTGTCTCCAACATCTCATGGCCACAATCATACAATATAATCTCACAGTACAAAATCGATATACTCCTGGTACGAATCTATGCAATATCTAAATGGTCTGCTGTCAATTTTCCTTTAGTTATTTTGCCTATAACGTTTACTCCAATTTCCTCACTTTTTTCTTTGCTTTTTCCTTTCCTTTACTATTTCTCACACATATAAAAATAGGTACAAAGTCACTTTGACATTTCAGTATATTAGATTAAATATGCTAGTTATTTAGGAAAAATTGTAGGTAAATATCTGCCCATGGACTTGGCACAAAACAAGAATCAAATGCTGTGCAGATGATCTTCCCATTAAACGTTATTCACTGATCTAAATCTTGTCCTCTCGTGTATTTCTCAATCTGTTCCTTCACAGAACTAACAAAATACTTAAGATTTTTGAAAAATGCAAAAATGGCCCAAGTTATGAATGTACCAGACCTGAGATAGGTTGATAAATAAATAAATCTAGCGAACTGTGTATGCAACAACAGCATATAGCAAGAGCTTATACATGCCTGTCCCTGAACAGCATCATCACTTGCTTCTTGTTCTGAAGAGAAGCTTTCATATTCCTCTTCAGAATAGTTGTCTGTAAGAAGACAGGCACAGGCATAATTGGAACATGTTTTTCTAGAAAAACAAATAAACACTCTCCAGTACTGTAGTTCAAAAGTATAACAAAAGGAAAGAAAGGAAATAACTACAGAAGTCTTCACGTTACACAGAAGAATGGCTCACTATTTGCGTCTTCCAATGTTAAGACGCAAAATGTTAAACTGGACAAATCTGAAGCTGTTATCTGAAGCTGCTCACAGATAACTAAAAGTTTGCGCCATAATTGTTTGTTTAAAAGTCACTTCTATTATCCAAAGAACTTATACAACACCGTCACTAGAGAAAATGCTTTAAAAATTAACCAGTGGAACTCAATCCATTATCATTAATAACTTAGTCACCTCTATATTAATTTGGGTTACTAATTTTTTCATGATTACTCCTTATGTTTTTTGACCCTCAAAATACAACAGCAGAACATCACAGAGGTTCATGCAGTGGAGTTAGAATTCATCCTTTTACTACTGTATCAAAAACACCTTGGCACCTTCTAATGCACTCTTTCCCTTAGTCAGTTAAAACAGCATAATAAAGATGTATCAAATCGTATTCAAGTTATATGAGGCAACAAAAATTCAAGAATATAAGTGATCAGATATTAGTATTATTTCTTAAAACTGTATTCTTAATTTTTTAAAAAAATCACATTTTACAGAACAGCACTGCTTAATTTTCCTTGGACAAATGAATCCAAATGTCTATAGTATCTTACTATACAGTTCTTGCTTATCGTATTAGCCTTCAACAGGAGATACTTATTATTTACAATACTGTATCACCAAAAGCTTCCCGTTTCCTACATGGTCAAGGTTCTTCACAGCTGTCCTTCATGAGTTACGAACTTTAAAAGCAGACTCCAGCACTGCAAGACCTCTGTTTCCTGCAATAATGGCTTCATGCTGATAATATACCTCTTCTTTCAAGGAGAATCCCACAACCTACTCCATTCATTGCCAAACTAATTTCTGGATTTGGTGCTAAAGTTTAATAGAAGCTCCAAAAACCACAAGGCTACAAATCCTTTTATATCCGTGCCCTCATCTTCCAAGATCTCTCTTGCTCTCAGAATCTATACTGATATTGAATGTTATGATCCTCCATCTTGACTTTCAGCTTCTTTCTTCTTGCTATGACCAATGCAGCTATTTTTTTAAGTGTCTGATCCTCATTTTAGATGCTTTGTTGGAAGTCTTCAATATGTGTTGTTATTTTTTCTGACAATATAAGTTACTTCAACCTGAAAAGGCTTCATAGAATTGGCCCACCTTGCCACTCCAATTCCCTTACACACCTAAAGATGTCTTGCAATGCTTCTACCTTATCAGTGACTCTACCCTGCCAGTTTATCAAGTTGGGCCATTCCCCATCACATGACAGACACATTCCTCCTGGTAAGAGAAGATCAAAAACTCATTTAGTCTTTTCTTTCTTTGTGTCTATGTTCTTCATAGCACTTAGCTAAGACACATAAGGTAGCAGGCCATGTTCTTCCAGCTGAGGAAGAAGAGAAACTTAAACAATAAGAGGCAGAAGCCAAAAACTAATAATTTCAACAGTACAAGGCCAGTTTGGAGTTCACTATTCATTGATGCTTCAGTATCTCAACCTCTACATAAAATTACAGCTGGAACACCTAGCCTTCCAATATTAAGGATGGCATGTCAAGATATACACATCAGTCCAAATCATGTTGCTGTGCACAGAATCTAGAGGCTCTGTACGTACAGTATTAAAATTGTTGTCTAGCACTTCTTGTTCACTCTGTGTGACTTATTCATGGAAGGTATAACAGTGCTGAAGAACCAGGAGTGCAATGGTAGTAGTTGAAATCCTAGATTTTGTAGCTCACATCTGTTGCTGTGTTTACAGATACTGGGAGTGATTCATACTGACCCAAGGAGAGATACAGAATCCTGAAGAAATCTTATGTTGGGATCTGCTTTTAAAATTGATAACCCATAAAGGATACATGTGAACAACTTTGACCATGTAGAAGCAATGGAGCCTTTTGGTGACTTAGTGGTTGGGCATATTGCAAAGAATTACCTTCTAAATAAGGCTAGTATGATAAGCAAGAACTTTATAAAAATATATATACTTGGATTCATTTGTCCAAGGAAAATTAAGTAGGACTGTTCTGTAAAATATTAATTTTACATTCTAGAAAGTTGATTATTTAGTTAATGAATTATAGGCAACGGGTGAATTGGTTTCTGCTTCGCTACAGGAGTTTGTAGCTCCAGGACAGATCCAAAAAAAGTAAAACTACAGTACTGGTTATACATTGCTTTCATTTGATGGTCACTTTCATGGATGACTGCTACATTTATAAGGCTACTTAAAAGATGATCAGTGCTGGCTTGATTTAATTTAGATGGTGTGTATTTGTTAAAACTGTATCTGAAAAGCAGTAATTGTAATTATAATAATTAGCCCAGCTTTTCATTCAGATTTTGATCCTGGAGGGTGGATGATCTCCGATCACGTTTGTTTAAAAAAAATACATAACAATATTATATGCCACTCAGCCAACTAAAAAATGGGGGCTTTACACAGAAGATCTGTATTCTGAATAATGGGAATGTTAAATTTAAATGTTAAAAGAAGTTAAGAACATGACATCTGTTTTATGGATGCCTGAATGAAGTTCTACTCTGGGTTACCTAACTGTCATTCACGTGCCACCATGGACCACAAAGACTGGAATTTATCTGGTGAATAAAACTGCTATGCATATCAGTTATTATTTATTTATTTAAAATATTTTATCCCACCTTTCTCCTTGAAAGGACCCAAGGCAGCTTACAACAATGAAAGGCAATATTTAAAGTTGAAAACAATGAGTATACAATGGTGGTTAACATCATTAAAAGACTTTTTTTTTAAATCTACAAACAATGAATAAGGAGGCATCTTGCATCATTAATAGGCAATATCAAGGTAAAGATCAATAAGTATACAAAATTTTAAAAAATGTTACTCTGAGAAATGGAAAACACAAGTAGTATTAAAAATCCAGTTATTTATTATTCTGCCTCACATGAAGGTATAATTTTGAAGTTCTGTCCATTTTCTGAATTTTAAAAGCTGAAAGGCAAAATATACCTACGAGGGAATTGTTTACATAAGTAACACCTATTTTGTAATGTACTGCTCCAATTTTTACACTGTCAAATATTTTGATCACGGATCGTCTCCTCATCTTCGCTTCAGTCCTGAAAACAAGGCAGGCACAGCTGGAAGACCCGCATGCCTTTCCTCTTAATTTAGGCCAGTACTTTTTATTTAGTTGGCAATCTGTTAACTGGGGTGATCAACCTTGGTGAGGAAAGAGCCACATTTTCACATCCCTCCTCCCATATCCACACCTGGCCAGACATTAAAAAAGCTTGAACTAACAAGATGTCTACCGTATTTCCCCAAAAATAAAACAGGGTCTTACATTAATTTTTGCTCCCAAAAATGCAGTAGGGCTTATTTTCAGGGGATGTTTTATTTTACAGTCATGTCATCTTCTTCTAGTTGCTGCACAATGGTGGAGGGTGGGGTTTCACAATTAGGGTTTATTTTTGGGGTAGGGCTTATATTATGAGCACTCAGAAAAATCATACTAGGGCTTATTTTCAGGTTAGGTCTTATTTTGGGGAAAGCAGAGTACTTCCAGTGTTGAAGTTTGTCTTTTCTAGAGCCAGGTGTGCACACACAAACATGTGATTAAAAGCTCCATATAAAACCAGTGCTCCAGGATTACTCCAAGGGCATAAAAACGTATGTTTGCCTCTCTATATCATTTTTCACTTCTGGCAATCATGATGGGCTATTGGGGGAGGGGGCTAAAACTGACCTTGAGAGCACTCTAAGCTTTGGGCACTCATTTTAAATGGCATTCAGCAACAGCACCAAAAGACCTAATAAAATGTTGACAAGACAACCCAAGTCTCTTTAGATGGGAGAAGCCAAGCAAAATCAGATGGATTATACATCAGCACAATTCAATACCAGCATAGTCAACAATTTCCATATTCCCCCAAGCTATACGACTAACATCTCTTAAGTAACTGACACAACGTGCCATTACCTCAATGGGTACTCCAAAGACAAAAATACAAACATGTTAAGTACAAAAATGATAAGCAGTAAACAAAAAGAATCAACTAAGAAAATTAAGAATCGTTTGGAAAGGGTAGGAATTTTAAATGTTGGACATCTGGAAGTTTGAAAAACTAAAATTAACTTGATATAGATGAATATACATTAGACAGACAAACAGAGAGATGGATAGACAGATGGAGGGACGGATTTATAAACATAGAATTAAACAAAACTAGTCAAAATAAAACAAAGAGCTGCTAAGCAGACTGCAGAACACAGTACATTTGATATAATTAAAAGCAGTAAAACAATCTTATCTGCAGGCTCAAAAAGACAACTGACCAACGTTTGTGGAAGATGCCCTATGAACAAGAGGAGTTAGCAAATATAAATATGTTATTGTTCTAAAGTTACCTGTAGACTTAGTTTTCTGGTTCATACTTATTGTGCTATCCTCTTGGTCTATTGGTTGACTGGAAAGTGAGAAGATCCAGATTTCTGCTATTTTGATCGTAACTTCTTTGATACTGCTAAAAAGGCTCAGAACTTGGCCTCCTTCTGTTGGGTGCTGCAATACCTATGTTTGAAGACATAAACGTACACTCCAATTACATTTTGTGGGTTAAAACCCAGTTTCTCACACACCTTAGTATTAAATATATCAAATAATTGTGTGTGATTTTAATTCATGAAGATTAATAGTCTGATCCTTCTAGTTACATAATCACAAACTATAGGATACACAGAAGAATTATTTCAGAAAGATCTGGACGTTCCGGAAAACCCAGATAGTGCAGTTCCTGACCTTGAACCAGACATCCTGGAGAGTGAAGTCAAGTGGGCCTTAGAAAGCTTGTCTAAGACCAAGGCCAGGGAGACGTTCGTAAGTCAAGACCCCACTGTACATTAGACAAACAGACAGATGGATAGACAGATGAAGGGACGGATTTATAAACATAATTTAGAATTAAACAAAACTAGTCAAAATAAAACAAAGAGCTGCTAAGCAGACTGCAGAACACAGTACATTTGATATAATTAAAAGCAGTAAAACAATCTTATCTGCAGGCTCAAAAAGACAACTGACCAACGTTTGTGGAAGATGCCCTATGAACAAGAGGAGTTAGCAAATATAAATATGTTATTGTTCTAAAGTTACCTGTAGACTTAGTTTTCTGGTTCATACTTATTGTGCTATCCTCTTGGTCTATTGGTTGACTGGAAAGTGAGAAGATCCAGATTTCTGCTATTTTGATCGTAACTTCTTTGATACTGCTAAAAAGGCTCAGAACTTGGCCTCCTTCTGTTGGGTGCTGCAATACCTATGTTTGAAGACATAAACGTACACTCCAATTACATTTTGTGGGTTAAAACCCAGTTTCTCACACACCTTAGTATTAAATACATCAAATAATTGTGTGTGGTTTTAATTCATGAAGATTAATACAGTAGTCTGATCCTTCTAGTTACATAATCACTATAGGATAAACAGAAGAATTACATCAGAAAGATCTGGACGTCCCGGAAAACCCAGATAGTGCAGTTGCTGACCTTGAACCAGACATCCTGGAGAGTGAAGTCAAGTGGGCCTTAGAAACCTTGTCTAAGAGCAAGGCCAGGGGAGATGATGGCATTCCAATGGAACTATTGAAAATCTTAAAATGCAACGTTGTTAAGGTGCTACACTCAATATGGCAGCACATTTGGAAAACTCAGCAGAGGATTGGAAAAGATCAGTCTACATCCCAGTCCCAAAGAAGGGCAGTGCCAAAGAATGCTCCAAATACCGTACAATTGCACTTATTTCCCATGCTAGCAAGGTTGTGCTCAAAATCCTACAAGGTAGGCTTCAGCAGTATGTGCACAGAGAACTCCCAGAAGTACAAGCTGGATTTTGAAGGGGCAGAAGAACTAGAGACCAAATTGATAACATGCGCTGGATTATGGAGAAAGCCAGAGAGTTCCAGAAAAACATCTACTTCTGCTTCATTGACTATGCAAAAGTCTTTGACTGTGTGGACCACAGCAAACTATCGCAAGTTCTTAAAGAAATGGAAGTACCTGATCACCTTATCTATCTCCTGAGAAATCTATATGTGGGACAGCAAGCAA